TCATATTCGTCATGTTTTTTGCTGCTGTAATTATACGGAGTGAGGATTAGGCCGATTCCGTTAATGAAACCTCACGTTTTTTTCCCCGGCTGGTGTAGGTGGCTTGTTTTAGATATAAACACAATAAATAGTATAAATAGATAAATGAGTAAGTAGACAGACAGCCTAATTGAATCAAAACTCATCCCGTTTCCAGCACCTTCAAAACTCCCGCTTCCAGAAACAAAAGACCAAGATGCGCAACGCGTTCTTCATTTCCGTATCTCTCTCTCCCTAACAGCTACGGGTGTCAAAACGAAAACAAGGACATTAATTACTACCTAGAATACGGGAACAAGACAGATGAGCAGTTCCAGGAGGCGCCCATCATCAACTGGCGGGCGGTGTGGTGGGTGAACAGACCGACGTGGCTGTGGATCCTGCAGCTGGCGGGCGCCGTCATCTCGCTGTCCGAGGCGCTCCTGCTCGCCTATCTCAACTATAAGGTGGGTTGGGCCGGGATCTTTTTCTCTAAATAAAGTTGAAAATGAATTAAATAATAAAATAAAACAAATGATAAAATAAAGATCTTTCTCTTCAAATAAAGTTTTTCAAATAAAGTCAATGTGGTAATTTTGTTGTGTTGCTATTTTTGCTTCTTTTTTTTTCTCTCTGTTTGCGTGCTTCGTTAAGTTTTAATTTGTCTTGTTTGGGGTATTTTTTTATCTTAATTTTTTTTTTCTTTTGTATGTACATATCTTTATTTACTAAGGTATTTACATGTTCACCTACATTTTGCCTTACATTCATATATCGTTGGACACTCTATAATAGTTGCATAATCTATGCTTGGCTTTCTTAAGAGACCACTAACCACTAACCGCTAACCACTATGTTACTTTTCCCTTCGAACATCCTTCTGCCTGTATCCCAAGGTGCGCTGGTGACGCCCCTTCCTTGCGCCTGGCCTTAAATTTTCTATTTATATTTTCTATATTTTTTTCTTCTTTTTCCTTCTTTTTTCATATATCGTTGGACATTCTATAACAGTTGTATAATCTTTGCTTTCTTAAGAGACCAGAGCATCAAGCTAACCACTATGTAACTTTCCCTTCGAATGCCCTTTCTACAGTTATCTATAATAGATTTTTATTGATTTTTCATTAGTGTTCTGACTACTGTTCTTTGATAGTAGTCTTACAGTTGCTACTATTACTAATGTTGTTTTTATTTTCATAAATGCAGCTCTTAGTGTTGTTATTGTCATTATACTGATCAGTATCATAATTATTGTCGCTATTGTCATTATCTTGATCCTCATCCACATCATCATTATATGATTAGTATTTGATAATTAGTATTATTATCCTTAACTTTGTACTTATCATTATTTTCGTGTTTATTATTATTGTTATTATTACTGTTATTATTATCATCATTATCATTACCATAATTATGACTATCACTATGATTATGATTATTATCATTATTATTATTATTATCTATTTTATTATCATTGTTGTTATTATTGATATTATTATTATTATTATTATTTATATTATTATCATCATTATTATCATTACCAATGATATTACCATTATTATTATCATCATTATTATAATTGTTATTATTATTATTATCATTATCATTATTATTATTATTGTTATTATTGTCATCATCATCAATCATCATTATAATTATCTTTATTATTATTACCACTATTATCATTAATATCATTATCATTATCATTTTTCTTATTATCAATAGTGCTAACTGTTGAAAATAGTACAATATTACATAAGTAATAGCGTTATCAATATCATTATCATCTTTATTATTGTCATTATTATTCATTATCATTGTTGTTGTTGTCATTATCAACATCATTACTGTCATTATCAATGTTGTTATTGTCCTTATCATCATCATTATTGTCATTATTATTGTTTTTTGTTGTCATTGTTATCAACATTATTATTATCATTATCATTGTTGTTTTTATTGTCATTATTATCATTGGTGTTATTGCAGTATTGTCAGTATTAAAAGTAGTTCTAATTCATCTATTTATGTTCTTCACTTTTATTATTCTGCTTTTGTGTTTCACCATCTTCCAACTGTTCCAAATGTACACGTAAGATGTACTGCCTCGATAGATCAAAGTGCAGGGCGAGAAAAGTGTCTAATGCACTAGACTATTCATTCGTTTGGGTCTTTTGAAGTGAACGTAAATATTAATGTTAAAAATCTAATGTCTTTTTCCGTTTCTTTTTTATCTTTTCAGGGAAACATATGGCAGACATTAAGATCGTTTTATTTTCTTCTCGAGTTGGTCAATACTGTACCTTTTATTCTAACAGTAAGTATTCCGAATTGAATTTGTTTTGAGGTGTGTGTGTGCGAGACAGAGAGTGAGAGAGAGAGAGAGAGAGAGAGAGAGAGAGAGAGAGAGAGAGAGAGAGAGAGAGAGAGAGAGAGGGGGGGGGGGGTTGTTGTGTTGTGTGTGCGTGTGTGTTTTACTTAGTCAACAGACCAAATATGGCTGAAAACAAAAATTACAATCACCATCCACACTGTACACATATAAATACCATATACACAAGCACAACGGCTCAACAGACACACAATCAGAGCACAAATCTCCTCCGCAAATTTGTTCCAGAACTGATCTATTTGTCCCTTGCCTTCCACAGCTATGTTGGCCTCCGCTAAGAAATCTCTTCGTCCCCGTGTTCCTCAACTGCTGGCTGGCCAAACATGCTCTCGAAAATATGTTCGTAAGTAGATCCTTTTAGCTTACGTTCGGATTTGAGTTTTATAAAGAGCACCTCTTCACGCAAAGCTATTCCCGTCTGGTGTGCGTGTGTTTGTGCGTTTATGATAATAATGATGTATGCGTACGTGTGTGTGTGTGTGTGTGTGTGTGTGTGTGTGTGTGTGTGTGTGTGTGTGTGTGTGTGTGTGTGTGTGTGTGTGTGTGTGTGTGTGTGTGTGTGTGTGTGTGTGTGTGTGTGTGTGTGTGTGTCTGCCTGTGTGTGTGGAGTGTATGTGGATGGATTGATATTTTTATGCATACCATAAAATAAATAACATTGATTTACGAATAAGAGCGACATACCTCGGCAGCAAATATATTAACCCAGGCGTTTACCTTCGAAGAAAAGAAAAGAAACACGAACGAAGAAAAGTTTTCGAGGAAAAACTGTCCGGTTCCCCTTTGCTATTAAAATCTTTTAACCGAATTCAACTGGGTCATTTGGACTTTTGTGCTTATTAATCCAAATTCTTTTATTTGGACTGACAGAGAAAATGAATGAGAGAGAAAAAAAAAATCCTTTTCCCCGCCATCTAAGGAGAGAAATGTATAACTCTTTTTCAACATTCAAATAAAACGTAAAATAAAACGTAAATCAGGCCCTAAAAAGACCCTTTGACCAAACCCTTACCTGAATTTATACAAAAACCTCAACATTGACTAAAGAACTGAGGAAATCGGACCTGCCATTGAAGAACAGTTCCTTTTGAGACTCGCGATGTATAATCACCTTATCTACGGGCGCCGTCGAGGAATTAACTCAATGGCCTGGATATGAACCAGCCTCTGTCATCCTCTTTAAGGAAATTGGTTTTCTTCGGAGATTCTGGGATTCCGCTACAAATGGAAGGCGTCTTCGGCAGCCTCGGCGAGCTGGGGAGTTATTGATCCAAGCTTATGGGGACCACGCCGCGTTTTCTTTGCTTTTTGAATTTTAGGGGCAGGGGGGTTACTATGCTAGAAGGTTGTTTTCTTTGTTTTTTTCTATTTCAGGAACAGAGAGTTACTATTCTAGATGGGTTTTTTTGTTTGTTTGTTTTGTTTTGTTTTGCTTTTTTATTTTTAGAGGAAGGGGTGGGGTTACTTTGTTATAATGTTGTTATTACTTGTATAAGTTAGAAAGAAAGTGACAACTAAGTTAGGAACAGGAACCACAGTACGTTTTTTATGCTTCATGTATTTCAGAGGAAGGAGCGAGGTGGAACTATGTTAAATCGCGTGTGATTTCATATTTAGTTGTTTCACTTGAGAGAGAGGGAAGTTTGATCCTTGTTTGATTACTTCCCATTTTTTGTGCACTTGGGTGGAGGGGGACGGGAATGTTAAATCATATGCATCTTCACATGTACTATTCTTTACTCAGTTATTCTTGTTTGTTTGAATGCGGGAGAGAGAGCCGAGTTCAGGAGAACCCATCTGCTATATTTGGATTTTACTTTGATTTTGAACCTTAGCCTCTTCCTCTTCTTTCATTAATGACAAAGCTTTCTTTGTTTAATGTCTTTGTGTAGAGAACACTCATGTAATCTCCGTTTCCTTCTCTCCTCCAGTGTTGTAATTTTTCATTTTAATCAGTTTTTTTTTTTCAAAATTTAAGTCCGCAAAGTTGAAACCCATCTAGGACCTGCCCGCTGAGGCCTTTCCATGTTATCTAAGTCCTATCTTTTTTCTCCCAGCTTGTTCTAGTGTAGAAGTTTATTAGTGTTATCAATATACCTGACACCCTGACATGTGTTGGTGTTCAACTCCATAAGAACAAACTTCCGACTTTTACACGAATCCTCTTTCGTTAATATCTTTTGTGTCATCTGCAAACATGTTCACAGAGCTGTCTGAATCTGAGCCCACATCATTGGTGGAAATGATGAACATAACTGGCGTTAAAATTGATTCTTGTGGTACATCATTTTCTTCCATTTAGAGAATTTAGTTTTTTTTTATCTAACAAGTCCTTTATCCCTTCAAAGAAATTATCTTGAACTCTGCCCAGTTGATTGTAGGCCTACTATTAAAATCCCCGTTAAAAGAATTTGTTTTGATTTAGTTTCCATTAATGGCAGCATTTCCTTTTTTCTCTAACTCATTACTTGGGTAGCTGTTTGTTACTATTTTTTGTGACCGTGATGATGTATGAGGTAGCATACAACTAGTGACGATTATGAGAATGATTGCATTTTTTATATTACAATAACATTAAAGTATGTCATGAGTACTTGTTTAACCACCATTTGCTTTGTTGTTAATGCCTCCCAACCTCCTCTACGGCTGTCCTTTCTTTTTCCCTAGACATTCAAGTATCTCCTTCTTCCTACCGTCGCACTTGTTAAGGAAGAGGGAAGCTTATTTCCACTGATGCATAGTTACATCGGTCACCGAAGGCCTTGTCAAGAATGTCAATTTCAATAGATTCCTTCTTTTTTTTTCTTTTCTTTTTTTTTGTCTGATTTGCGGAGCAGAGCCTCGCCCGGGCTATGCCCATGAGGGGAGCCCGGTTTTTTCTTTCTTTCTTTCTTTCTTTTTCCTGTTATTTGGTACGCAACGATGTCTTTTCTGCAAGAATTCAAGATTTCTATTCCCGAATATATCATCAATCACTTTAGCCCAGATTTTACCTCGGTGCCATGTTTAGGACCTTTTCTGAGTGTTCTAATGTAAAGTTATGTTTATGGTAAGCATGTCCAAGTGTTTGCTGTGTTTGTTAGCTAAGTTTCATATCTTCGTTCAATTTTCAAATGTACTTCTCAAACTTTACGTTTTGAATTATGGTCCTTTTAACCTACACTTTTTTACAACATGTTGTTTGTTCATTTGTTTGTTCTGTAACGTGTTTTATTTGTGTATGCCATTGTGTCTCCAGTTTTCCGTTACTGTTTCACACACATTCGCATTTTCTGCTACTTTTCGAATTCCTCTCCCTTGTTCTGGATTTTGCTTGAAGTCATCCCTTCTTTTTCCCCAGATTTACTGCAGTCTCTCCTTGAATAACGTTGCAGTCTGCAAGTTTTGTACGAATTTCCTCTGCTTCTCATTTGCCTGATAGTCTACTTTCAATGCAGCGTAAAGTTCACTATTGCCGGCAACCAATTTCTTGATATGGATGGAGTTCAAAAGTCTTGGTTCCTTTCGCCCCCAAGAGTTACCCCAAGGACGCTAATTAAGCACAGTCGTTATAACTTTATAGCAATGTTCCTTTACAGTGGGTTTCGAAACTTCTCCTTTCAAAAGGAACTGCTTATTTTAAGATGACAAGACAAGCAGACTGGGTTCCCCCTGTTATAGTTGTCCCGTATTTTTACAAGGGGTATGGAGTTGATGGATTTCCCAGTGTTCTTTAATAGATGCAAGAGAGAGGGAGAGAGACAGAGACAGAGACACAGAAAGAGAGGGAAAGAAACAGAGAGAGGACTGTAGGGGGAGAGAAAGAGAGAAAGATGATGAAAGGGAAAGAGACAGGTAGATAGAGAGAGGTTGAATCAGAAACTGAGGAAGAAAGATCCAGAGACAGGGAGAAGTAAAACAATTTCAATAAACGAATTGTTGGAAGGAAGAGAGAGGAACAAGACAGTTGCAGTAACAAAAAAGTTCAACCATCTTGTTATGCTCTGGGGAAAAATATATATTGATAGTCTCTTGATCGGAACCACTTGTGCCTTTTTTCTTTCTTTCTTTTTTTCTTTTATAACGAGCTCAAAATTAATTTCATCATCAGAGAAATGAACATAAAAGAAATGTCTTTGATCTTGTTACAAACCCAATTGGTCGGCTGTTGGTATGTAAGCTTGTAGAGACTTTAAATATAATATTTAGGCATGATATTTCGAAAACTAAACTTACGTACGTTAAGCAAGTATGTTGCCTTGGATGAAAAAGTTCTCTTCATCGGCATAAGTACCGTATTAGCTTAATGCATGTACCAAAAGAAGAAGGAGTTACCCTATAGACTGTAAGTGCCAAAATTCTGGGTATTTATTTTTAAAAACCTGCTTAAGAATTCCTAGTATGACTAATACCTGTTTTTTTTTCACAAACTGCCTAGTTTTCATTTTATATCGTTATTCCTATTGGGGACTTAATGTTTAAGAAGATCAAGAGATTACGTGGAGCTGTTTTCTTGGTTAATTTGTTCGTCAACTGGATTACGCGAAGACTTATTGATAGAGTGTAATGAAAATTTATGGATGGGTTGGCGGGGGTCCAGGGATTATTATTATTATTATTATTATTATCATTATTATTATCATTATTATCATTATTATTATTATTATTATTATCATTATTATTATTATTATTATCATTATTATTATTATCATTATTATTATTATTATTATTATTATTATTAGCGAGAGGGATGGCTTTTGTTTTTTACTGTTATCATTATTATTATTATTATTTTTATTTAACACAAAGCATTTGATCTTCGGTTTGGAATATTCACTGTGAATCCGGGCACCAACCAGCTGCCAAAGAACTCACAGGTAAATGTCTGGCTGTTCCTATTGTCGAGTTCTGTGCTGGTAGGCGGGCCATAACAAATGACCAAGGGCTACCAGCATCGTATCTAAGTAAGACAGATCCAACATTTGGAAATCCGTGCGTGCACTTGTGCATTCATGCTAACACGCACATGCAAACACGTACGGTGTGTGCATGTGTGTGTGTGAATGCAATTATTATCATCATTATTGTTATTATTATTATTATTATTATTATTATTATTATTATTATTATCACCATTATGGTTATACTGTGAAGAGGATATATAATATATACTAATATATATATACTAAAGTATAAGTAATAGAAAGTAATGTCCTATATACAAACTCGTTTATGGTTTAATGTAGACTGATGTAATTCTGATTCACTGCCCTGTACTTAGTCTGGATTAATGGAGCGCAGAGATATAGTGAAATTTACTCTAAATCAAGAGTTCATAACTTCACTTGCATATAAAGTGTGTTG